GCATTCCTGATGCTGGGGTTGGCTCACAGGTGTTATTTTTCCTTTCAGGGCAGACAGGAAGGAGCTCAGATTGACCCATGGGAAGATGCTGATTTCACGCTTTATAAAGTTACAGACCGGTTTGGATTCCTGCAGTAAGTCCTTCTGCCCTCTCCTGTTCTCTCTGACCCGCGTGTCTGTGCAGACTGTCTATCTGCACTGAGCGTGGCAGACCCAGCATCTTTCCTATAAGCTGCTTTGTGGCTTGGCTTGATCAATCCCAAATGCAGGAGGATGACTAGATGTGCCTCCTCCCTCAACCACATATGTTCAAACACTCTTATGCTTAGAATCCGCTGCAAGGCAAGGTTCAGAAATGGTTTCCCATAACAAGACTGGAGTCAGAAGGTGTGGGCTGATGCTCCTGTGCCTCTGTGGAGGCCCGTGGTGCGTTGCAGAGGCTCTTGCTTTTGCACCTGGTGATTCAGGGAGGTGCAGGCAGAGGTGAGACAAGATGAGTGATGGTTCTCGGTTCCCTTAGGAAATCCACATTCTAAGCGAGGGGCAGATGAATTAGATGCACACACTGTGCCTGGGGAAAATGCTTAGAATAACTATTTTTGTTCCAAATCCAAACAAAAAGTTGTAATAGCAGGTGTTTTGTATGCAAGAGCAGGGTTTCGAAGCACTTGCTGTCCAGAAATGTCCCCTGCACCCTTTTAATTGCTGATCATGTGTGTGTTGAAGAGGAGCTTTATGCCCAGGATTTCCAGTGATGTCCAGTGCTTGATTATCCACCAGCAGCTCCTGTAGGGTGGTGGGGTTTTGGCTGGTGCTTCCTCTGCATCTTCTTCCTCGGGGACAGCTGTAGGAAAGGCATGAGGCCCCCAAGCTGTATCTCCTCAGTTGCCCAAGGTGGTCCCCGAGCTGCAGCACTCTGTGGTCCTCCACACCCTTTCTTGCCCACCGAGTAACCGGTGACCCCTTGCTTTTCCAGCGAGCAGGAGCTGCCAACCCGCACGGCCTTGGAAGAGAAGGTGAGAGCTGCCAGCTCTGTCGTCATGGTATTGGACCCTTATCACACTGGCTGGGGAGGGGACAGTTTTTGAGGACACGAATGTGCAAGCAAGAGGGATGCAGGCAGCCAGCGCCTGCTGGTCACTGCTGCTCACGCGGAGGTGGGAACTCTGCACGATGCCCGTCTGTGGGAGCTTTTATTTTGCAGGGTCAGGCACCTCCCCTCCTGCACTGAAATTGTGCTTTTTAAAGCAGTTTTGGGTTTTTCCCGCTGCTTTGGCACAGTGCTCGGCAGCTGCAGCTTGAAAAGGGGATTGCACATGCAGGGGAAAGTGGTAGAGGTTTGTAGGCTGTCATCTGCATCCTCATCTTCCCTGAGCTGGGAGTGTGTCCTCTGTTAGGATCCTGCTAACTGGGACTGAGTAGCATCTCGTTTCTGCCAATCTGACACAATGATATGATTTGAGGCTAGCTGAACCTGCAGAGATTTTTGTTGTCAAGGAATGCTCCTCTTGGAAATGCTTTCTCTGTGTTAAGCCTGTGTGTCTCATTGTTTTTGCCAATGCTACTACCACGGGTTGAAATTCCCAGTTCCTACCAGCACCTACGGATTGTTCCCATCCCTGATGTGAGGTCTTTGCATAGAAGTTTAAACCTAAAGAGAATGAAGTTTTGTGTTGAGGAGGTATCTTCTGGGGCTTTTTTTTCTTAAATTTGCGTTGTCTTCTTCCCCCTTGCACCAGCAAAAACAGCAGGAAATCGAACGTGTGGACAAGTGGCTAAAGATGCTGAAGAAATGGGGCAAATACAGAAACAGTGACAAGGTAAGGAGGAAAAGAAAAAGCACATGTCCAGACGGACAGGAATGGTGCATCCTTCCAATGAGTCAGGCTTTTGAAAAGTTGATAGAGAAATCAGAGATCGCTAGAAAATATTGCCTAGTTCTACCAATTAGTCTTTAATATTTGTATTTTTTCCTTGAAGTTGCTGGGTTACCAGTAGAGGGAAAAGTCCTGTTCTGACTAGCATAGTTTTAAAAATTGTTTTCTAAATGCTGCTGTTGTGTTTGCACTTCCGTTTTCCTGTGCAAGCAGGAGCACAGCAGAGATGTTCATGTGCCCCTCTGGGTCCCTGCCCTGAGAGCAGGAGATGTTGCACGCCACAGGTCGCTTCTGTAACTCCACCACCTGGTAGTGGCATGGGAGATGTGACTGATACAGTCCAGATGATGTTCCTCATCATTCTCGCTGGAGGGAGAATTATTTCTCTAGGACATCACCTAGATTTTGTATATTGCTCCTAGCTATGCCTGTGAGAAGCCCCTTCAGTGCCTAGGTGTTAGATTGTGTGCACCTGTCTGTGGAAATCCAGGATGGAGACACCAACCTTGTATCTTGGCTTTGGTGTTCAAAATAAATTCTGCACCAAATGCCACAAATAATATTTGTAATATATTCCTATTACAAACCTCTTGAAACAAAAAGCCCTTTAACCTAATGACAGGACCCTTGCTGGGTAAGGAGGGTCACACCTGACCTGCTCTGCTTACGGTACTGCAGAGGACAGGGCTGAAGCCCAGCATCACCCTGTCGCTATGGCCTCTGCAGCCTTCTGGTTTGGCAGGAGGAGCAGAGTGTTTGGCTGTATTGCTTCTAGCTCCTGCTGACAGAAACTTGAGCTCGGTTAAAAGGTTGTGCAGAGGGTATCTGCATAGCTGCAGGGGGTCATCTAGCAGAGCCTCCCCCTCACCCACGCATCGAGAGTGATGTCAGGTTCACCCAGCCAAAGACCAGCTATAGTCTCGTCCTTTTTTCAAAAAGCCCCCTAATCTTACCTTTGATTACAGCAGGGATGGGGTGGAGATGGGCTTGGTGTTTTATAATCCTTCTGTTCACTTCAGCATGGTTCTAATTATTTTGTTCATCAGCGCTGCTCTAAGGGCAAAAATGGGGGCTCTCCCGTGGCTTTGTTTTTTCTAATTAGAAGTTAGCACTAATCAGTTAGTGGCCTTGTGGGTGAAATGCCAAATTCCAGCAGAGTGCAGAGAATTCCTTCGTGTCCTGGAGGATGTTTGGGATGGGTAATAATGAGTGTTTGTAGCATACCTTGGCTTCCCTGGCTCAGCCGGTGGGGACAGACAGGATCCGGGGTGAGTGGTGTGTGGAGTGACAGTGATCACTGTCTGTCTTTTGGATTTACCCTCATAATCAGCAGGTGTGTTAAGCATGCTGCAGCCCACATAGCTCAGGTCTGCTGGATGGTGAGGGGCTAGACCAGCAAGCAGGTTTTGAGGGTCTTAGGGTCAGAAAATCACAGACCTCTTGTAATGGAATAAATGATGTTATTTATAACAGCCCATAAATGGTTGATGACTCTTGGGAACAGATGTGGCATTGTCCCTGTACTGGAGGACTGGAAATGGCCATCCCCGCTCCCATCAGAGAAGTAGTGCTTGGCCCCAAGCAGGGAGGGAGCAGTATGGTGACCTCGGGGAGTACAAAAGGAGCTTTGGTTTCAGTCCCATCCAGCCTAACACACCGCTGCCTTGCGCCAGTGCGAGTGCAGGCAGGAAGGTCTGTGTATTGGAGCAGCCAGCAGCGTTAAGTGCAAAGACCCTGACAGGCACAAAAAAAAGTTCTGTAAAATGAATAAATTCAGAATTAAGTTGTATCCTTCACCTGGATGTGCAGACCCATGCTCTTGTGTTGGAAGTGTGGAAGCTGCTCAGAGATTCCTGC